TGTGTGTGCGTGTGTGTATGTATGTATATATATTCTTTTATTCTCCCTTAATTGATACTCTATAGAACTTGACTTCATGCTGAGGTGGCAATTCAGCCATTTGATTCCTGTTACAGCAGCTCATGAGTGAATGAACGTGGTGAACTAAAAATATGTTTAGAAGTATGTTTTTTCAAACATGCTACTTCACTTTTATTTACTTGAATAGGGTTGGGGGTTGCCACCTCAGCATGCAATCAAGTGCTATAGAGTCTTGCTAACGACCTACTAATTTTATTCCGGTGTGTTGCAGCAGGGACACATGGAGAAGTTTCAGGACACCAGCCCTGGAGGACTGGAGTTTGATACCCATGCCCTATGGCAGGTACCCTATTCAGATAAGTCAAATGAGGCATGCTTGAATCAGACACCAAGCGAACACTGCAGCAGGGTCGAAGTTTTTTCATGGGCACAACCAATAGGCTCAATTCTGTCGTTAACCCACAAATACATTTTCCTTATAACTGTTGCCATATTTAAGGGAAAATAAACAGGCTAAGAGTATAAGATCTATTGGCTAGAAGCAGTGTTACAATGAAGGAAAAATTAGCCAAAAACAAATTTCCTTACTTTTTTTGCTGAGTTTATAAAAGCAAGTAATTCTCACCTTGACAATTCTAATGAGAACCTTCAACTGATAAACATGGAGCTGCAGGTCCACACGGTCAGTCAGCCATGTTCCTATAAGGGTCATTGTGCTCGTGTACCATTGCTGTAAAATACACACAAACATACACCACTGTAGTGTCAAGTGATTCTCTGTGAAATGCACAATAACTTGACCTCTGTAGAGATTATTGCGATGGTGCTTTTGGCTGAAAAAAAAGGATCATTTCATGCTTGCTGTGTACCATTGAAAAGGCGTTTACACACTAGACGTGTAAAATCTATTCAAATATTTTGTGTGTTGGACTTACCTATTCTTAATGCAGCCGTTCACTCTAGCTGCGTAATTTCACTGAACAAATTTCCTGCCCTTTATTTTTGATTGCTGGAATCCAAATACACAGATCTGACGAATCAGGTCACTGCATTTTCAACAAGCGCAGTGGTGAATAATCCTATTTCAACTCAGACACACAGCTACTCTACTCCAGACCAGTCGGCTCTCTGAAAGGATTTCTTTGCCTCTTTAGATGAGGTCCTACCTCTGCTAACTAAAGTCCAAACTGCCCTCCTGAAATACGTATGAAAGCGGCAGCTCCAGCTCCTGGATGAAACAGTGTAATTCTCCCTGCTGCTGCCTTCTTCTTGGATGCAGAATCTCAGTTTCTTACTTTTCTTATTAATAAAACATCAGAACCAGCTCATCATACTTAATGTCGACGTCCCCATATGGAAAAGATATAAATCTTATAAAGTTTGTATCTGTCTTGTGTGAAACTTGTATAAAAAGCATACAAGAGTGAAAACAGACATAAGATCCATTGAAAAATTATATAAATGAAACTTGTATGTTTTGGATACTTACTAAAACAATATATGAAAGTGTCCACTTTCATGAGTAAATCATATGATTCACTATATGAAGTAGGCCACATCTGATGCAAGTTTTTTCTTTTCCATATGGGTATGAGGTGATTTGGTTCAATGGGCCTGATTATTTAAGACCTTGTATGTGAGCAGCAGGATTTTGAATTCTGAATTTAACAGGAAGCCAAAACAGGAGAAATCTGCTCTCTCTTTCTAGTCCCTGTCAGGACTCTTGCTGCAGCATTTTGGATTAACTGAAGGCTTTTCAGGGAGTTTTTAGGACACCCTGATAATAATGAATTACAGTCGTCCAGCCTGGAAGTAATAAATGCATGAACTAGTTTTTCAGCATCACTCTGAGACAGGATATTTTTTAATACATGAGCAAATGAATAAAGGCTGCCTTACATATTTGTTTACTGTGTTTGCTGAAGGACATCACGACATAGCCAAAGGTATTCACTCACCCATCCAAATAATTTAATTCTGGTGTTCCAATCACTTCTATGTTCACAGCACAGTGTGAGCAGATGCTGAGGTGCATAATGCACACAGGTTGCCAACTTTCTGCACAGTCAATTGCTTTAGAGCTCCAGCCTTCAGATCAGCTCAAGAACAGTGCATAGAGGGTTTCATGGAATGAGTTTCCATTTAAGCCTTACATCACCAAGCGCAATGCAAAGCACTGCATGCAGTGGTGTAAAGCATGGCACCACTGGATTCTAGCGCAGTGAAGATGTGTTCTCTGTAGTTACAAATCATGCTTCTGTGTTTTGCAATCCGATGGATAATTCTGGGTTTGATGAGGAAGAGGCCAAAGGAACAATGTTCCTCGACTTGTGGTAGCAACTTATCCCCTTCCCGGAGTGCTCCAGCCACCCTTTTCTGGCTGAGAATCATGGCCTCAGACTTGGAAATGCTATTTGTCATTCCCACTGCTTCACACTCTGTTTCAAACAGCCCCAGTGCAAGCTGGAGACTGATATCTTAAAAAGAGCTACATTATCCACCAAAACAGAGAGGCGGCCGTGAGGCCACTTGGGTATAAATGCTATATAAGTTAACTTAAACTGGATTTAATGAAACCATTTAGTCAAATCCACCTCTCAGGACTGCTGAGCCCCCCATTATGATTGGTGAAAAAGGGCTACTGCAAAGACCAATGTGACTGATTTCTTAAACTAAATCAGTTTATCAATTTCCTGAGAGCCCAGCAGCTTGTTTCTAGTAGTTTGTACATGTGAATTGTGACTGTAAACTGATGGGGGAGCAGCATGTGAGGCAAGCTGCCACTGGCTCAGCTGTTACTGGTCTGAGATCAGTTAGACCTGCACTTCGTATAGAAATGCAGCTAGCATTAGAGGGTAAATGAATTACAGTGATTTAGCATCGTAACGGAAAAGTTTCCCCCCGTGAATCATGTGGGTAACGTGACGTAGAGAGGATGGTCTTTGAAAAAGTTCTTAATTATTCCTTTAATACAACAGCAAGAAACCACGATGGAGAGGGGACAGGAGCTCTAACCATGGCCATGAAACAATTTGAACAGGCTTGGCAGTCGTCTTAGCAATTGGTTCTACTTGCCTTCCTGTAAAAGTTACAGCACAGTTAGAGCTAGACCAAGAGCTCAGGCTGGAGAGAAAAGAGCAGGTTTGGGTGATTAAGGATCGAGGTGAAAGTGTATTAATGAATGAATAGGATGCGTTGAGCAGATGGACGTAATACTGACAAACAAAGGGAATGAGCGAGAGAGGAAGAAAGGATGGATGGATAGTAAATCAGGAATAATGCAGAAAAATATTGCCTGCTCTGATGAATACCAGTTTCTGTTGGATGCTTGGTTAGGTTTTTGTCTAAAACCATGGCTACCTGCCTCGTAGCAGTGCTTTTGTGGTTGTCTAATGGTGTGGAGAATAACTTTTGGCTCTCTTGGAGCCTGTTAGCTAGCTAAACGGTGTGTGAGCTGCACATGGATGATGGAGATCTTGGGCTGTGCTGGAAACAGTTGGACAGTACTGGCACAGCAACAAATGACTGATTTGCGGCTTGGAGGCACAGACAGGTGCTTTGTTTTATGCTAATGTCTCCTTACTTCCGACAGGAAGCACAAGTTAGCATAATGATTAGCACCTATTAGTCATTTCTGATAAAACCTTCTAAAGTAATTTTAATGTACTTTAATACCTAACCTGCAGTAACTTTTCTGGGGGAATACTGTCTGGCTTCCATTTACATTTCTTTGCTTCCATGTAATTAAATTAGTCTTGGTTTGTTCTGTGATGTCATTTACTATGTTAGATTTTAAAAATAGCACACCTATGCTATCCCAATCAAGACTAAGAAAACCACTGGTTGTAGTGTTTGTTACTTTAGCCCTAGCATTCCACATCATGTAGTATCAAGGTACCATCCATCGACCAATCACATCAGTATTTCCATTTTCAAACTAGCATTGACTTCTTGGCTTAGACAAACAGTAAGCTCTGCGAGGCACAGTGAGCTCCGAGCACAGCAGCTGCAGATGTTTCTCTTTGGGCCCTGGCTGGTGTCAGCCTAATTGATGGACAGTGATGAGTGTAGGGTGATACTAATACAAGCCGACTCACTTTCCACAGTCAGGGTCACAGCAGAGTGGATGGGAGTCTGGAGAAAAAAGGGAATGAAAATGAAGGGGGAGGGGTATATGCATGTTTAGGGGGAGGAAATGTCTATTGAATATGATAAATTACTTGATTTGAAAGAAGCATAAAGAAACTATTTGGAATGTAATGATATATTAAAAAGGTTCAAACCATAAACCGTCTTGATTTCAGCCAATAGCACTAACCACTACACCATCACGCCACTCACACAATCTAACATGTCTAAAATCTCCCATAGCTTTCACTGTGGCAGGGCAGCACAGTGGAGTCTGCATGTTTTGTGTTTGTGTGGGTTCTCTCCGGGTACTCCGGCTTCCTCCCACAGTCCAAAGACATGCAGTTAGTGGGGACAGGTTAATTGGTAACTCTAAATTGCCCATGGGTGTGAATGTGAGTGTGTCTGTCTGTATCTGTTATAAGCACTCTAGTTATAACAGTTTATGTGAGGGGGTTGGATGTGTGGTGTACTAAGCGTATAGCTCCCCGCACCCCCAATTAATTTTGTATTCATTTATTTCTAATGATAGACATTGAATATCCCAATGTATATGTTATTTTGGATGGACTAATTATTTTACTTCATACAACAATTATAATGGTACAAAGGACAATCTGTATCTGTGAAACTGTTGCTCAGAGAACTACCATAGATCGTGGTGGTTGCTTGTTCAGTGTGTAAGCAGGTGGCTTGGTGCTACGTGCTGCATGCTGGATCTTTGAATGGTAATAACTTATTACCCTACTATTACCACTTTATTACTGAGCTGTAATAGACAGTGCTACCACAACCCATATTTGCTTAATCTAGCATGAAAGTTGAATTCAATTAGCGTTTTTCTTATTCCACATTAGGGGAAAGAGTGTCCTGTTAAAATGATTCTAAATGCTTCATTTTACAGGATTGTCAAATTCTAGTATTAACCATTAAGAAATAGTCACTCGTTGTCTTTTGTGGTTATCTTACCATGAAATTGACTCAGCACACATGAGATGTGCTGCTGGTTTCAGCAGGACAGGTTTGGGTTGGATTTTGTTTTCCTTCTCTTCCTAACTTTTTCCTTATGAGTAATTTTTCAGATGAAATTGCTGGGCTAACTCTGTGTGTGGAAACGTCCCACACTTTCATTATCACCTACCTTTCCGAGTCCTGTAATGTAAAGCCTTATACCTTGTCCCGTCAGTTCTCTGATGACAGCACTCCATATTCTGACACCATAATGTTACTCTCTTGTGTGATAGCTGGACCTGCCGAGTAAATAAAAGGTCCAAGTAGAATCCACGAACCCTGACCCCAGCTTTGACCCCCTCAAATGTGCCACCCTCAATCTGACAGTGCTATCCTCTGAAACTGCTCGCCACTGCTGCAGCGAGAGCTCCCCTTACCTGTTCACAACCTGCCCACTCTGTCCATTGTCCACGCTCTGCCTGCTATAACACATAATACAAAATCAGATTAATCCCGACTCATCATTACAATATCTTCACTAACTGCCACAGTCTTCTCGAGCAGAGCTCCTGTGATTTCATCACAGGCGTTGAGGCCCTTCTTTGTACCCTGGCACCAGTTTACCAACAATTTCCCTTTCTACGAAATAAG